TTTGGGAGGCCAAAGTGGGTGGATCACTTGATGTCAGGAGTTCAAGACCAGCCTGGCTAACATGGTGAAACCCCTGTCTCTACTGAAAATACAAAAATTAGCCGTGCATGGTGGCATATGCCTATAATGCCAGCTACTTGCGAGACGGAAGGATAAGAATCCTTTGACCCCAGGAGGAGGTAAAGGTTTCATTGAGATGAGATCGCACTACTACACTCCAGGCTGGGCAACAGAGTGAGACTCTGTCTCAAAGAACGAAGGAATAAACAAAAACCACACAAGGTAAAAAAAGAGAAAGTTTGGGCCGGGCGTAGTGGCTCACGCCTGTAATCCAAGCACTTTGGAGGCCAAGGCGGGTGGATCACCTGAGGTTGGGAGTTCAAGACCAGCCTGACCAGCATGGTGAAACCCTGTCTTTAAAAAATAAATAAATAAAAATAAAAAAAGAGAGAAAGTTTGAAAAATAGATGGAAAGTAAAACAAACAGAGAACAATTACATATATACATATTAATACAACTATATCAATTACTACTTTAAATCTCTATTATTCACATACACAAAAAAGAGAGATTGACACAGTAAGGGTCAGTAATGTGTAAAAGAAAATCATTTCAAACAGAAAGATATGGACACATTACATAAAAAGGTATGCAAAAAGTAAGTCATTCTAACACTAATCAAAAGAAATGTGCAAGTGTTATAATGTCTGACCACGCTGTGGACAGTATGGCGACTCCCACGAACTGCATGTACACCCCTGTGGTGCTTTCTGGAATTAGAAAACCTGAAATGGTTGTAAAATCCTAAAAGGAGGAAGAAATGTTCAACCTCTGTGGTGCCTACTTAACTCTGAGACATTTTCTTTTTTTCTTTTTCTATTTTTTTTTTTTGAGATGGAGTTTCGCTCTTGTTAGCCAGGCTGGAGTGCAATGGCGCGATCTCGGCTCACCGCAACCTCCGCCTCCTGGGTTCAGGCAATTCTCCTGCCTCAGCCTCCTGAGTAGCTGGGATTACAGGTACGTGCCACCATGCCCAGCTAATTTTTTGTATTTTTTTTTAGTAGAGACGGGGTTTCACCATGTTGACCAGGATGATCTCGATCTCTTGGCCTCGTGATCCACCCGCCTCGGCCTCCCAAAGTGCTGGGATTACAGGCTTGAGCCACCGCGCCCGGACTCGTAGTTTCCTCTTCACACCTCACGCAGTTACTTTCAGCCACTGGCCTTCTCCAGCTTTATGCAATCACCCCCGCTACTTAAAACACACCTCAGGATGTCTCCGTTTCTATTATTTTCTGTTTAACTGTGCTCAAATTCACTGTACTAATTTACTTTTACATGCCCTGCTTTTGTTCAGTTGCCAAATTACACTTTTCCTCCAGGCAATTACAGCTAATATTTCACTCTTAATTTCACTCCCATTCTCTGCTCATACCCAAACTTGTTAATGAAAGTGATTGGTTACTTATAGATACCACACGCTTCCTCATACACACAGAAAACAAAAGCTCTGCCCTCCACACGGTTACCCTACCAAATCCCGCTATAACCCTTAACAGCCGCAGCCCTTGGGGGCTCCCCTGGCATTTGGGTCCAAACCTCAACACCCTCAGAACACTTTCTCATCTTTTCACTTTACACTCCCAGTTATGTCGAAGCCAAGGACTTTTTTCCTCTGTGGTTCTTCTTACATCTGCCTTCCTACCAACTGCACAGGCACTTGTACCCTAGTTTTCCTTACTCCCAAAGTTCAGTTCGCCAATGGGGACAAAAGCCTCCCTGTTCCCCTTGTGATCCCAACAAGACACAAGCGGGTCATTCCATTAATCCCCTTAATGGTAGAGTTACGAACTACTACTGCACTCAGCACCAGGTAAAGCAGGCCTGACCACCTCAATCCTCAGCTTCCGTAGCCTCTGTAATGTTTTCTGATTAATCTCTTAATTCCTTAAAAAAATCGCATATAAGCAATAATTAGTCAATACAACAAATAGTCCTTCTAACCCCACAATATCACCCCTTGCCCCGAGATCTCCCAGCAGTCTAAATTCTTTCCCATTTTTAGGTTTCCACGCCACCCCCAATCCCGCTTGAAGAAACCCTGAGAAACACTGCCCCATCAACCCTCTGTGCCGGCCTTCCTAATATTACACTGCCCTCCACTCTTCATTTCTTTTTTATTTACATTACTAATATAAAAAGACAGGAATGTAAGGTCTGACCACCGTGGACGGCACGGCACCCCTATGAACCGCACATACAACTCTAGAGGGCCTTCCGGAATTAGAAAACCTGAAATGGCTGTAAGATTGTAGAAAGAGGAAGAAATTATCAACCCCCGCCTAGGATACTTAACTTTAAGATATTCTCTATTGTTTCTCATTCCGGCCTCCACTGACAAGGCCACAGGACTTTGTAACAGACTTTGACCAACCTCCTTATGCCACACCCTACGACCCCTCCCAGCCTGCAAAAAGACAGCCAACTGTAACTTCTATAACTTTCCACTGCCCACCCCAAACCCATGCACCCAGTTGAATAAACAGCCATGTTGCTCACACAAAGCCTGTTTGGGGTCTCTTCATTCAGAGCGCGCGTTTTAACAATAGTTATATGAAATCCAAACAAATCACATTTTAGATCAATGACAATGGAAAGGAATTTTCCTAATCGCTTTTTCTTTTTTTTTTTTGTTTGACGAAGTCTCCTTCAGTCGCCCAGGCTGGAGTGCAATGGCGCGAATTCGTGTGTCTGAAACAAAGCCTGGGGGATGAAGAGTTGACATTGTTGTGGTCAACTGAAGACAGGAGGTCCGCTGTGTAAATCCGGAAATCCAGAGATTTGCCGGCAGTCCTAGAAGCTAGGCCGGGGATTACAGTCGCGGATTTGCGTCCCTGCTTCGCATATATCTCGAAATCTCAGGAAAAACCCGAGGCTCCTGGAGACAAAGAAGCAACTGAAGAACCCACAGACTGCTGCTCCTCCCACACGAACCCCACACTTGAGGCAGACTCCCCCAATGACCCTCCCATGGACCCACACATTCTGGGGAGATGCGGGGCTGCGGGCAAGGAGCTGCCCAGAAAGGGCTCAAGGCAGGGGCCGCAGTCGCCGCGAAAGGACGAGACAGGACGCCCGGGGTCCAGGCTGCTGGCCCAGCCCCAACTTGCGGCCGATGGAACCGAGGGCGGAGCTGCGTCAGGGGACGCGAGTCCCAGACCACAGAGACAACGGCGGGGAGATCTGGTTCCCACCACGGCCGGTTCCAACCAGGCGTACCGTCTCAGGACTCCTGGCCTTGAACACTCACCATTTCCCAGCTTTTGCGGTAGGTTCCTCCCTCCACCTCCTGCTGCCAATACTGGCCCCGGAGCAACCGAGCACAGAGCGGAGAAAAGGGTGTTAGAAGAATCGGCGGGCTTTTTAAACCTCGCAACCTCCTCCAGGCAAGGCGCCTGATGGACACTTCTCACGACCCCGCCCGGTGGCTCTGATTGGATACTGCCCAAGATCCCGCCCCCTGGGCCCTGAGTGACAGCAGAAGTGATCTCCCGGTGCTCACCACCCCGACGGAGACCGTGATTGGATAGTGCCCCAGGTCCCGCCCCCTGGGCACTGAGGGACAGAAGAGGTGATCTTCCAGTGTTGAGAGGAACCGGATAAACAGGTTCCAGATCTGGGGAGAAGGTGGAAGGTTGGCGGTGGTTCCGCCCTCGGCAGGGACCTGACCCCTCCCAGGAAATATTTGCATTTAAGAAGAATTCCCTGCCAGTAGTCTGAGGGCCCTTCCTGCTGCTTCCCCCAGGACTGGGGGTCACAACTGTGTGCAGGGATTCCCAGACTCACTGTCCAGTGGAGCCTTCCCCTGGCTTCAGAGCAGGAGGGGAGTGAACGCCAAGGAGACCACACTGCAGCAGGAATGAGGCTGCTGGCTGCATGGGCAAGCCTTTCTACCATTGTTTCGGGAATTAGCAGATGGGTGGAACGGGAGGATTTTGTTAAGATGTGCACCGGCTTAGTAGATTTACTTTTCAAACACTGAACAAAGACAAAGCTTGACTTTTATACATGAAACGCAGAGGCAGAACAAAGGGAGTTTATTTTAAATGACAGGTTTACAAATTAAGTTTACATATGACTTACACGGCATATGTCAGGCCTCCAAGTTCATTCCTGACCATTACAGCCTTGGTGACCGGCACGTATGCCTCTGGATGGTTCCCAGCAGCCACAAAGTCCGAAGTAACCAGACGGCCACAAAGAGAAGTGAAACAACTTGTTCCTGCCTCAACTAATTGCCCTCCCCCTGCAACCTGCAACCATTGTTCCTGCTCAGCCTTCCGAAATTTCCCCCTGGACATTGGGTTTCTCAAGACCCCCTCCCCTGTAACTATGTAATTTGCCGCACCCTCCCCTCTGCTTCCAACCCATAACCCCCACCCTATGATCATGCCTATTTGTAACGGATAACCCCTACCCTTGTGACCATGCATCCCGTGACGCCCTCCCCCTCCCTAAAATAGATTACCACCTTTAACCATTTCCTCCAGCCTACATAACCAGTCTGCTTTCCTACCCCCTTTGCATAACTCCTTTCTCAGACTTGGCCTGCTCGCACCCAAGCCGGAAATTAAAACGATCTCCTTGCACACACAAAGCCTGCCTGGTGGTCTCTTTATGCCAGCGACGGGCCTAACGGTTTAAATGGTCACTATTTGGGTTGCAAGCACAGCTTATCTCCCTTCCTTTACTAGATGTTCGGTTAGCTGCAATTTAGCCAGCCTAGACCTGTTTTATGACCTTTGCTGGGCTGCTTAGATGAAAGATAGCAACTTTTTGTTATTAGCTGCAGAGAACAAGAATACATGAATTTAAAAACTTATAACTTGCAAAGCAGAATACAGTTTCACAAAGGTGAGGGGGAGGATTCAGGGAAGTTTTGCTTATACTACAGAAAAGAAAGGAAATTTGTTTTTCTGCTTTCATTTTCTGCTTCACCACCTTATCTCTCAGGATACTCATTTTCACCAAGAAAATAAAAACACAGCAACAACAGAATAAAATTGTTAAATGAGTGGAAAAACTGGAATTATATGGCAGCAATAGTCTACAAAGGAATCAAAAGAGAAAAAAAGGAAAAACATGAACTAGCTCAGCGAAGCAGTTTTTCAACCACAGTTCAGCAGGAAACGCCCCACTCGGGAGGTTAAACAGATTCTCAACCTGGCAGCCAGACTCTGATTGCTGAACCCGAACCCCCGAGTCTATCACAACCTGTGATGAGACAGGATCACTGAAAGATTTAACTCTAAGCTGTCAACTTGCCTTCCTATCCCCTCTGCATTGTGTGGCAACACTCTCTCCTTCCAGAACTTCATTTTATTTTTTACTTTTTTTTTTTTGAAACAGAGTCTCACTCTGTCGCCCAGGCAGGAGTGCAATGGTGCTATCTCGGCTCACTGAAACCTCTGCCTCCCAGGTTCAAGCAATTCTCCTGCCTTAGCCTCCCAAGTAGCTGGGACTACAGGCACCGACAATCATGCCCAGCTAATTTTTGTATTTTTTAAAAAATGGTGCCACCACACCCAGCCCTAGACCTTCGTTTTCACCAGCAGAAGATTTACCTGGAGTCAGTTTAAGGTACTGACCTACATAAATTGTCAAATTCATAAACCTGTTCTCTCTCCATAAGGCAATCCAATGGGTCTCTGAGCCTGGCAACAGAGCAAGACTCCATCTCTAAATAAACAAACAAATAAATAAATAAATACACAAATAACAGATTTTCTTCATATATCAAATCACAGTCAGACTCCAGCTATTCTACGTGTAAACCAAAAATAAAATTAAAGCCCAGCCCTCTCCCCCATACAGAGGGATTTCCCACTCAGCTAAGGGCAGCCCAAAGTAAACCTGAAAATCTAGAAATCTAGTTCAGGCCATGATGGAAAGCAGGGGTCGAACCTGTAGTCCCACCTTAGCACCTGTAGTACCAGTTACTTGGGAAGCTGAGGTGGGAGGATCCCTTGAGGAGGGACGTCCAGGCAGCAGTGAGCTGTGACTGTACCACTGCACTCCTGCCTAGGTGACAGAGTGAGACCCTGTGTCAAAAAAATAAAAGAAAAAGAAAAAACTTTCAGAAAAAAATAATTTATATCCATACTATCATGGGGGAAAAAACGTGAGTAATGGTGATTCTGCTGAGAAACTATAAAGAAATCCTAGGAGAAGCTCTGAAACCAACAGTAAATGGCTATGGGTGAGGCCTGAGACACATTTTGGTTTGGAAACTCACTCATCGAAATATCAAAATGTGTATGTGATGGTGTACACACAATATAGAAAATACTAATTTTAAATTATTCATAGCCACTAAGAGGAACCACTTGCTTTTTTGAGTTAAGATATTTTCTTTTTGTTTTCTTTTTTGTTTTTGAGACAGAGTTTCACTCTCGTTGCCCAAGCTGGAGTGCAATGGAGTTCGATCTCAGCTCACAGAAACCTCCTCCCAGGTTTAAGCGATTCTCCTGCCTCAGCCTCTCTAGTAGCTGGGATTATAAGTATATGTCACCACACCCACCTAATTTT